GTAAAGGAGAGAGGGGAGGAGAGGAGAGGAGAGGAGAGGGAAAAGACAGAGGAGAGGGAAAAGACAGAGGAGAGGGAAAAGACAGAGGAGAGGGAAAAGACAGAGGAGAGGGAAAAGACAGAGGAGAGGGAAAAGACAGAGGAGAGGCAAAGGGAAGGGGAAAGGGAAGGGGAAAGGAAAAGGAAACCCTTCCTTTTCCCTAAAGGAAGAAGAAATATGCAAGAAATTATTACCTGGGGAGTTTGGGTGATTTGCTAGCTCGACTGATTTTGGGAGATTTCTTTGCTGCCCAGTCATCACTCAGCTCAATATCGCTGGAGTCCGAGCAGTTGCAGCTGTCAATCACAGTGGAAATCAAGCTGTTTCCATAGATTTCATCTATCAAGACAGGTCCCAGAAAATGTTAAGTGCTGCTTCAGAAAACTGATATAAATTACAACTTATCAGTCATCAGAAACATAAAACCAATCCAAGCAGCTGAGATAAAACTATGCAGAGATAATTAACCGTTCTTCACCCCGCCTAGTATAAACTCCAAATTTCCAATGGCTCAAACTCAAGTGAACATGATTCAGAAGGGTGAATAACATTAAATCAACTTCAAAGTTGAAACTAAAGAATATTTTCTGCTAATTAGCAACCTATTCCCTGCTACTCAAAATACAAGAAACTTCCTTTTGTAAAACATGGTATAATTTTAAAGGCTTGAGCCTAGGTCACGTAAAGATTTTTTTTTTGATGCAAAAAAAAAATCAGATGCTACCTTCCATGTTGCATATATAGATTTTCTTTAACTTGAGGATTTAATATCTAAAGTATTTCTAAATATTTTTTATACAGAGCAACAATTCAATTCTACCTGCTTTTCCATCTGTTTTAGGATCCATGATGACAAACTCTGGCCGCAACTTGCTGATACGACGTCCTTTCAGGATAGGCACCAGTCCTCCAAGGTATTCCAGGTACAGAGTATAACATGGACCACCGACTTCTGGGTCATCTTCTGTCCGCTTCATCGTGCAGTGAAGCCGTTCATTGCCAGCTGTTGGGTAGCTGACAAAATCTCTCATATTGTTTGGGTCTGGGATAGGAGGCTTAATTAAATGAAGGAAGGAAAGATAAAGTTTCCTGTAGGTTATTGCTTTTTTTAAATGTGGTGACTTAATCCCAACGCAACTAATGGAATTTGAACTCAATTGTACCTTGGGAAGTCAAGATTAGTACAGGTTACCGCGTCACTTATGCAGGACCCACATGCAAGATAGACCAGCTGCGTACTATTTATTTAGGTCAAAAGCACAGAAAAGCAAAACTAGCTACATCAAAGAGGAAGGTTGGACCTGTGGTTAGAGAACTGAATTAGACAACAAACAAGTCCCAGCTCTGTCATAAACTTCTTTTTTAACTTGGGTACTGTGATTGAGTCGAAGTCTCAGAGTATTTTGTCTCTTGCTGTCCCCCAAGTGAACGTGGCCACTCAGGTTACCATTCCTGGTTAGCACTGGTACATGCTATGCCACTGTCCTACAATTCTGTCCACTCTGGAAGAAGCTTGTACCACTCATGTCACTTCCAAGCACATGACCCATCTTTGCTGAGGGCCTATTTGTATGCAGCATAGAGAAATATGAGCACAAAGCTCAGGTTTACTTTTTACTCTGCTTGCCAGCACACTGTATTAATCCATTGAAGAGCTCAGTCCTAAAGCAGCTTGACTGGTTTTCTCTAGGACAATACAGCCTGTTATGACACAAATGCTACTAATGTGTGTAAGTCAACATAGTTTCTTTCAAAATGAAAATGCAAAAAATAGAAAGTAGGGAAAAAGGAGCCTCCTGACACTGGAGAGATGGATAGGGGCTGAGGAGTGATCTATAATGTAGCCTTCAAGCTGGGAGCAAGGTGTATGCAGGGAAGAAATTTCTTTGGTGGCAGGGAAGAAGGTGGAGGCATGGCTGACAATGTAGGTGGGAGTATGTGGCTGGGGGAGAATCGGGGCATAGTTTAAAGTGGTGTTGAGGAGGCTCCAATAACACCCATGAAACAAAAGGGGCATGTGGTTTCCGGGAACTCTGCTTCAGCGCCTCAGCTACGCAGCTCCATGACCGCTCCCCACCCTGACCTGCCCTCTAGGAGGTGACAGAAGGGTTGTCGGCAGTGACGTGCCCCTGTACTGCCTCTGTCCCTCTGATCTCCACCACAGCTCCCAGCCCTGCTACAGCCAACTGCTGCCTTTATCCCGTCCCTTCCCCTCCCCTGCCTTCCCTAACAGCCAAGCATCACTGATGCTCCAGAGAGCTGCAGGGGTGGCTCTGGGACAACACAGAAAGCATCCTCAGGGGAAGTAGGCATGCTAGAAAGAACTGAGACCCACTGGTCTGTTAAATGCTCTGCATTTTTGGAGATGGAGGAGTTATAGTTACAGCAAAGCATTTATTCTTCTCTGGCAAATTAAATGTTTCAGAGTTGCACAAATTGCCCTGATTAGCAGTACCCAAATGGAACTGCGCTGAATCATTATTTTATAGGCATAATTTGTTCTCATTTAAGCGGGGCCAACTCCACTAATTTCAAATCAGTTATTCCAGCTTTGCATTGTTTTAATAAGGACCTGGAACTGGCTCAAGAGAATGCTGTAACACATAAACAATAAATATATAACACAAAAATATATGTTTGAATGTAGGAGATTTAGCAACTAATGCACTGGTTTATAGGCTGTGACAGAGTTCAGAAATCCTGAGATGTAACTGACAGCAAAACCACGAAAAAAAGGGGCTGAGGAGATGGCTCTCCTAGTGGCACAGGAAAAGGCAGAATATCTGGTTCATTTTCCCATAGCACTGCTGGAGCAGTAAGGTTAGCAGAACTCACTGTCAGTACAAATATTTGGGCAGCCACAGGTCTAAAGTATAATTTTTCTGGCATTGTAAGGACTCATGTAACAAGCAGGGAGGCAACAGTTTTACCACTGTGAATCTCTCCTATAACTATGACACAGTATTATGATCAGCATGAGCTTCTTCAGAAGTCTTTGTGAGTCACCAGCATATTTTACCCTTGGGATGTCCTTGGAAAGGCCATCCCCACGGAATAAAAGCAAATCAGCATGTGTGAGCCCTCTTTTCAGATGTTAATAGGCACCAAACAGATTAGTGGACTGCAGAAGAGGACAGGAATGACCCTTAATCAAACTTTTAAAATGATAATTATGATTACTACAATGTCTTATAATTTATCCATTGTCACTTAGGAGCAGCATGGGGGGGGATGTGGAATCAAGCAAACCCTTCCTCTTCCTCACACACACATGCTTCTTTCCTTTTACCTTGATTGTTGGTATAAAGGCAGTGGTGAGGTATGAGCAGAGCCGAGGGGGCAGGGTCAGTTTGCTGATATCCTTGTCATCCCGCAGACAGCTAGCAATGGTCTGCTGGCACAGCAGCTGCAGACTGGAGACCCTGTGCTCGACTCTGACAACATATAATGCAGGTCCGGAAGCCATCAGCAGGCGTGAATCCCTGTGACCCCAACAGATCGAGATGATGGGACGCTGCATGGAGAGGAAAAAGATACAACTTTAAAGGAGTGTATACTTTCTCAAGACAGTTGCACAGTGATCACATGAGTTCAGCATCAATCATGTCACTACAAGTCTTCCAGAAACTTAGAAGTACATGCTATTGCCCACAGAAAGGGAGAAGAATGTGAACACCTGAAATTATTGATAACAGTGGTTAATGTTTAAACAGTGCTTTTTACTCACAAGGCTTAAAGCTCTTCTCACAAGGAACTGCCTATCAAATTCACTACCTAGCTAGGATAAGTGACTTCAAAGTCACACAGTGTTAAAAATCAGGACCTTTTGATGCCCTAAGCAGATTATTTTTTCAGTCACCTAATCAATCTACTCGTAACAGCTCACATTTTACAACTGAAAAGTTAAAATACATGCCCAAAGACAGTAAACTAGTGGATAAAACCCAACTGGCTTTTTTGTCTTGCACTGAGTCTTCTGCTGCAGTATCTCTTTTGAGCTACTCCTAAAGGAAGTAAACTGTGAAAGAGCACCACGAACAAAACAGAGAATGGCCTTTTGTCTTCTGCTTGTCTCCATTCAGAAATGTCTAAATTCATGACAGTAGAAACAGTGTCAGAGGTGACTGGCACTAGGTGTCAGAACGCAGCGCAGAAAAACAATACATAACTCAAACGCTGCTTTGGACATTATTCCCTGCTGCACAAACATTAAGAGTTCATGTGAGAATACCGAGTTGTGCTTGCAAGGACCTCTCTAAAGTCTCGTCTTAAACCCCATCTTTTTCATGTAAAGCACTATCTGTTGTGACCTCTTATAGCCCTATCACTATTACTTTTGCCTTTCATGAGTGTTAGCTGCATCCACCTGTCATCTCCTTCCTGTGTTACAAAGCATCTGTATTTGCACAGATACACATACTATACGGAATTTCAATCCCGTAACTGCTATCTCTATACAAATAAACAACACCGAGCAAAGAAGAAACTCTCACTCCATGAAGAATATTGTGCAGCAGGCTGTAATCAGTGAAATACAAAAGGTTTACGCCTTCCTGTGAAGGGCTCCATTCTTTTCACAATCCGTGACACTCAAAAGTTTAAGCAAATAAGTTTTTCATCTAAATTATGAACTGTATTTACTGAAAGGTCAAGGCCTCTTTGGAATATCTTTGCTATTCATATGATGCCCCAAACAAGAATTAACTTTACAGAAGATAAGGGTCAAGGCACCATCAGTAGTAACCTTTATCCACTCCTCTCTAGTAATATGGTACCCAGACACCTGGGTTAGATCAGCCCAGAAGTTACTCACCTAGTGTGGGGAAAAAAGCTTTCCCTTCAGTTACAAATTCAAGATGCTTAAAGGTCAGAAACTGGGACAAGATGTTTTTATATGAATGATACAAAGCAGAATGCAGCTGCACAGCACTATATCAATGTCTGTCATCAAAACAAAGGGCTGGACGAAACAACTTTTTCAGAGAAAAGATCTTCCCTGCTATGTGATCTTATCCTAGATTTAAATTTCAAGGAAAATAATGGTTTTAAAACAGGATGAATGAAGAAGCTTCATTTTCATTACATCTAGGCACCACCACACACACATGTAGTCCCACGAAGGCACAAACCTTCAGGCTGACTGATATGCAAATGGAAAGCAGCAACTTGAACCTTGTGATTTTCACAGTAATGGCTAAAGGCATTTTGTAGTGGAGAACTTCAAAAGAACTGAGAAATCATTTGTGTACCATCAATAATTATTACATGGCTTGTCATAACCATAATCTGTGGGACAGAGCCTTAAATTTGATGAAAGATCACATAAAGTATCCTTTACCGATTGGTATTTTCATGATTGAGAGTGTGGCTCAGCCCTCATACTGTCTGGCAGTAATGAGAGAGTTCAAGCTGCTTGCAAAATAAACGCAATTGAAAAGGCACTGACAAAAGTCAGGTACCTGCCACATCCTTCTTCTTCATTGCTCTTGAGATTTAATCTGTTCTTGTGTCAGTTACACAGTGGTATAAAATAATGAGATAATGTAAATTTACTCTAGGATTATAGGTGTATAAAAGAGATCAGCATCAAGGTTTCTAAATCCACGTTCTTGTTCCCCTGGTCCTCTCTGGGACATACAGAAAAGAACCTTATAAGAAGTGAAGAAGAAACCAAAATATAAGCCACAACTTTGAAACATCAGAGAGAATAATTTCACAGGTTTGGTAAAGTTGACAGTTAGGTAATTTTTAAGTGATCCTGCAGGAGACTCCTCTGTTTAAAGTTCAGATGGGAAGATATGAGGCAGCTGTATCCGCTCAGAAGAGAGCTTTATGACAGCAGGTATGGTTAGTTGATGTAATAAAGACCTGGATGCACATCAGATGAGAAATTTTGAAATGACAGAACTGGGTTGCAGCATTTCCAGTAAAAAATTTTACCAAGACTGTAAAACAGTCTTGATTGAGTTGATTATTCTCATCCCTGCTTGATGCCAGGGAAGGGTTATGAGGATTTAACAAATAATGTAAGAAAATCAGAGTCTCCCAATAAAAAATTATGAGCACTGGGGCAGTCTGCTGTTCTAGTCACATTTTTAAATGTTGAAAAACAAGACCATGAAAAAACTGACAGCTAGAAGAACTGAGCATAGTTTTAGTTCTCAGGTTGGTGTTTGTGTACACAAGTGCAAGCACAGTAAAGAGCTAAGTTTTACAGACATTCATAGTATACTTTGAATAGTTATCAGCTAATCAATGGCCTTTAAGATATGCTGTTTATTTATAAAATAAACAAGAAATGCTCTTCATTTATAAAACCAAGTCTTTGGAGCCACAGTATGGACCCAGTTTTCATATAATTGCTTCCAATAAGACAAAGGTCTGGTGTGACTTTCTGAAATTTTTTCATCATTCTTTCAAAGTTCAAACCAGCCTCATTTTGTGTAGCAAAGATTCAACATTTGCCCAACCTTTACCGATGCTTTTTCACCTCTTTCCACTATATTCTGCAAATATATTCTTGCAGCATGTCGGGGTGGCAGGCTGAAGCCCCAGAGCAGGGAACAAGAGAAACTGTTACACTGTGCTAACTCTACCACTCTTTATGAGCACTATTTTTCATGAAAAGCTACTGTGTTCATTTGGATACTACTAACCAAGTGTGATTTCCCTACCTAGGGTTTTATGGTCAGCAAACTAGATTTATGAACCATAGGAAGGTAAGAGATTAAGCGAGTTAATCAAAAGAGACAGAAGATGCCAAAACCATACTAAAGCTGCAGAAGGTGGCACATAAAACACCTTGAAGGGATCCATGACAACAGTCATCATCAATATGACTAACCTGCAGTATGCAAATCTTTTCTACCTTGGGGTTTGTAGTGACTCTGTGTCAGGTAATGTTCCAGACAAGTTGCGTATAAATCCTACATCACTTTTAGGTTGTGTTTTGTTATAAATGATAAAATCTGTTTCCTGAATATCCTACCAAAGACAGGACAGACAAACAGCGGAAACAAAACCATTTCAGTATATTTTACTGATAAAATTTTCAGATGTCTGCTTTATCAAAGAATTCAGACAGAGGACCACATGGAAAATCAGTTTTGCACCTGTTATCCACTATTTTCTAAATTTGTTGTTGCTTTACTTTTTTGACCCGTATATAGAACAATGCTTATTTAGAATAAATGTGCTTTTCCAGTCACACATTTGCTTGCTTCAGAAGAAATGGTTTTAGAGGAGTTCAAGATCAGAAAATTATTTTCTTTTCTTCAATAACCAGTGATGAATTTTAGAAAATCCCATTATAAGGCTGACTGCCATGGTACAGAAAACTAATTAATTTACTCTGATGAATTTGTCATCAGACAAATTTGGACCACTGATTCACTCTGTCATCTTTGCTTATACATCTTTGGAGCAGAGGTTCAGAATAGCAAAAGTTACTAGCATTTTTTTTTGCACCAGCATTTTTTATCTGGTTTTGTTAGTAAACCAAATACTTAGCAATGTTCTAGCACACCTGTTATTTATCTGGTAATACTGCTGACCAGCATTCAAATACATAGAAGCATAAAGTCCCCCTGAGCAGACAGAGGTGTCCTTCTGAAAGACCCCTCACTTCCTCCTGCAATTTAGTAAATATGAATTTAAATGCACTAAATAAAGAGAATAAACACTGACTAGTAAGAGGAGCGGCTCTAACTGTAGGCAGGTTTATGCATGTAGTTTTTAAATAAACATAAATATATCAGTTTCAATGTTATTTTTACCCAGCTTTCCCAGGGAAATGAGACTCCATGAGTGTGCTATTAAGTAGTGGTTGCCACCCCAGCCCCTCTCCTCCTTTATTTCCAACCTGGCCTACAACTTCTGAAGCTGTCGGCTTCTCATCTGAAGTTGACAATGGGGGAAGAAATCTCCATGATATTACAGTGCTGCAATTTCAGGGAAAAATTAGCAGCTGGAAGGAGCAGACAGGTTTATGTTAGTATTTTCACTATGAGAAATACTGCAGCATTGAGAGCAGCCCTGAGGAGAAGGACTTGGGGGTGTTGGTTGATGAGAAGTTGAACATGTGCCGGCAGTGTGCGCTTGCAGCCCAGAAACCAACCGTGTCCTGGGCTGCATCAAAAGCAGCGTGACCAGCAGGTCAAGGGAGATGATTTTCCCCCTCTACTCAGCGCTCATGAGACCTCCCCTGGAGTCCTGTGTCCAGCTCTGGGGCCCCCAATGTAAGAAAGACATGGACTTGTTGGAGCGAGTCCAGAGGAGGGCCACAAAGATGGTCAGAGGGCTCCCATACAAGGACAAGCTGAGAAAGCTGGGGTTGCTCAGACTGAGAAAAGAAGGCTCCAGGGAGACTTTCCAGTACTTAAAGGGGGCTACAGGAGAAATGGGGAGGCACTCTTTATCAGGGAGTGGAGCGAGAGGATGAGGGGTAATGGTTCTAAGCTGAACGAGGGCAGATTTAGATTAGATATTAGGAAGAAATGTTTTACTGTGAGGTTGGTGAGGCAGTGGCCCAGGTTGCCCAGAGAAGCTGTGGATGCCCCATCCCTGGAGGGGTTCAAGGCCAGGCTGGATGAGGCTTTGAGCAACCTGGGCTAGTGGGAGGTGCCCCTGTCCGTGGCAGGGGGGTTGGAACTAGATGAACTTTAAGGTCCCTTCCAACCCAAACCATTCTGTGATTCTATGATTCTAGTATGAACTCGACAGTTACCTGTTCTGCACGACCTGTCAGTTGCCCTGTAAGTACTCATATAACGGCAGAATAATTAGCTCTCACATCAGTCACAATATATGCTTTCTCCCAGCTGATTGAGTGGAGGAAAAAGGAGAAGAACTGAAAATATGAAAAGAAATTTAAGGAATATAGGGAGAACTGGAGGAGATGAAGGTATTTAAATGAAGGAGAATTTGAGGTTACTGGGAACAAAGCACTAAGAGAAGAGCCTGCACACACACACACACCCACAAACACACACACCTTAAGGCAACCTGAACCCACCAGTTCTGATGCTCAAACCACAACTTGATTCCACAGCTTGACCCCAGCATGTTACACTGGTTCGATGGCTAACGTGGACATGCTGCATTCTAGTACTGAAGCAACAGAACGAGCTCTGCTTTTTACCTGATCTGGGAATAAGCAACACCAGTATAATTGTCTTCTCCATCAATCCAGAGAAGAAAGGGCTATGCTACTTTCCTGAAAGGGCTATGTTTAAGACAGCAAAGCAGTGTGTATGGGTAAGTCCTTTAGTTACCTAAATCAGCATTAGATGTCACTGTACGTATTTAGGTTGGCTTTAGAGACCATTATTTTTTACATTACAAAACTAAACAATACTATCTAAATTACAGTGCTGATGTTAATAAGCACAGGTTAATACTAAATATAAGCAAACACAAAAGCTTAGCAGCTGGTTTACTATGTCATCCTTTTGTATCCTTCCCAGATCAGGGTACTGAAAAAGAAATTATAATAAATTATATCATAATTAAACATAATTAACTAAATATATCTATAGCATTTTCCTTCATTTTTAGATTTCTAAGCTATTATAAATTAAGTTTCACTAGAACAGTCAAAAATCATAATGGAGTCATCCCTATTCTGCAGAAAATGAAATAACCTGTAAAGTGACATTCAGCTGGGTTCTGAAACATCAGCAGAGACCTATGAAGCCTGTTGTGCTACTAAGCATCGCACAGACCATGTGTCAAGTAACACAACTGAGGTTACAGTGAAAGTCTGTAGAGAAGGTGGGAACAGAAACAAGCCTTTCTGATTCTCTTTCTCCATCTGATGCCATAAAAAGTAAAATATTGCATCAAAATATTGCAATGACTGTACATTAGAAAATTACAGCAATAACAGAGAATAATCTTGTAGTTATCACATTGGACTTGGAATATTTTTGTCCAGCTCTTGGCTCTGCTACAACATGAAGCAAGCTATCTAGTCTTTTCTCCTCAGTCATCCATAAAATAACAGAATTTCCTTTTTCTGTCTTGTCCATTCATGGCCCAATGATTTTGGGAAACAGACTGTTTCTCATTACATATTTGCACAATAACTAGCACAACGGGCCTTAGAATCAGATGCATTCTTGGATGTCTACCTTAGTGCAAACAGTAATTATCTGTAGTGCATTTTTTACCTGTATCATACTTTAGAGTGTGTTAAGGATGTTTTGCAATCGTTTTCACATTGCAGGTCTATACCAACGAGCTAATGTGGGAAAAGCATGTCATCGAAGCATTGAGAACTGACTTAAAAAATACCTCCTACCTGCACAGGTGTCTCCAGAGTGTAGATATGTTCCCCGCGCACATTGTAGAACTTGACAAGCGCGCTTTTCAACAGGGATCCATTGCCAAGGTCAACCAGCTGGCTTTGCTTCTCCATCCCTGCTACTGCTAGTAGGTCTCCTTGTGTACACCACTGTACCACCACATCTGAAATCACAAAGATAGTTTGCAATAATCACTGATTAGAATCGGTAGGGACAGCATTTCCATATGCTGCAAAGTGACTTGAACAGCTAAATCATGCTCTCAAAAGTTACTTAAGTACTTAGAAACCTAAATCCTTTCACTGAAATAGTAGCAAATATGTTGCATAAGCATTTCCAAGTATGACTCTTTTTATTTTGTAAAAGGCAAAAAATGTGTAAAAACCATTCATTTTTCTTTCTTCATGGTAAGTCTACAATGTAATCACTGGTTTCTCCTAAGTACCTAAGGACAAGAACTTTAAATTAGAGATGTTAAAACTGATGTGGAAGATCCTTTGCACATCTTTGGGGTAAATAAGTGGAATCAAGTTAATATGCAGACAATCTCACTAAGAGAGCAGCGAAGAGCATTTGTCTAGAAGGGCCTATGGTGCAAAAAAGCAGCATATTTGGCAATGCCTCAGGTCCTCACTGGCTGTGAATATAACTTTTGGCAGAACTCAAACTAGAGTTCAAGTTTAGTATAATGTCAAACTAGAAAGACTTTGGGATTTTTGTCCATAAATACATATGCCCTCCATGTCCTAGCTTTCTTTTGACACCTGACTTGTGAAAATCTACTCATCTGTCTAGCAGGAGTTTGCCAGAAGTACACAGGGATTGATTAGTCTCCCGTATAAATGGATATGAATATACATATCATTTACTTCTCCTACAGGCACTTCACGATGAGCAACGCCCACAGTTTGACTTCAAACCCTTATATACTCTAGCTCTTTGTCACACTGCAAGAAGAGCACCAAAACAGTATTTTGTGTTTCTGCTTGTGTTTCAGAGGCAGATTTGCACATGCAAGGAATCATAAGCTAGTCTTAAAACCTTTTTACACTTAAACCAGAGGTGAGAGGCAGCTATTCTGTGCTGAGATAAAATGAAGGTAAAGACAAAACTTTTGTGCTCTGGGATGCTCTGTCTGCCAAGAACCTTTTGAAGATATTGGTGGGCGAGAAGCTGTCTTCAAATGAAGAAGCAGCAGAAAAATCAGAGTTGGCAGGAAGGAACTCAAAATTGTTTCAAGTTGTCAACTTGTCATTTTCAGGGACTTTTAAGTGCAATTTAAAATGGTTTTGTATTATTTCAACTGTCTGATATTTCTCATGGGAATTATGTTTCTGTACATACCAGAGGCAAGACGCATGTTCCCCAAGATAATTTTTTTGTAGCTAGGCATTGTATGCCTCTTTTTTTCTCTTAGTCTCCAGCCCTCTAAGTAATCTACAATGGGATTTAATTCATCTTTCTCCCAGAGTATAAAGATAGGCAGGTTAGAAATCAATGAAGCATGCTGATCAACTCCACTTTCGGCAAGTGGCTTAACTACACAATTAGCAAAGTGAAAAAATAATCTCCTTTGGATACATGTCTTCAGGTAAAACTTTCAGTCGATCCCCATACCAAAAGGAAGAGGAGCAATTATTGCATCCAGCAGTTTTCTCTCTCTCTCTAAAAACTCCTAGAATTAAGCTGCTGCAAAGGTAGCAAAGGGCTGGACAAGGGCTGCAGTATTCCCCCAGGACAGCAAGGCTCTACAGCATGCTGCACTGCCAACTTTGACGTACAATTGCTTAACTGATAACTAGGTCTCCGTGCAAGCACAGAGATTAGAAATCAGATGGAAGTTTCATCTAGGGTAACGGTCTGCAAGTGAATCTGTGGATCAGAGCCATCCCTTAAAACTACTTGCCAGCCACTACAGGCATGTATATCAGCAAACATTGAATAGATAGAACTCTAAATGTGTAATAGCTCTGTGGATAGTAGTTGTAGCTAACTAGCACAACTAGTAGATTCAGTTCAGCAGTTCTGCACATAGCAGTGGAGTGAGAATCACAGAGTTAAAAAGCATAAAAAATAGAAAGGATACAACTGAACAGCTCAGGAGAGAGCTAGAACTGATAAAACTCCCAGAAGCGTTCAAGCTGGATGAAAAGAAAAACTTGTATTTGGGTAACCAAATTCTCATCCAACAGCAAATGTTTTTCTGCATCAATTTAATATGAATACTCCCAGTATAACGAAGCTATGCAAAGCTAGTAGAACAGCAAAAATATATTGGTAATACTTGAAATAGTTTTATAGTTGCCTGCTTTAAAAATACATTGAGTAGCCTACAGCAGCCCATAAAAACAAGGGCATCTGCTGCAGGGATCACAAAGCAATACTTACAGATTTCAAACAGAAACACATGAATGAAGACTCACAAACAATACTGAAGACTATCCACTCTCAGCAGAATACCAAGTGGCTGGAGAGGATGGAGACCCTGAGCTGGGTGGTTTTGCACATTCTTGCATATGATAATAACCAGTAAGATTACAGTTACTTGAAAAAAAATTATAAGAAGGTACAGAAAATGTTCATAACTATATGACAGCTATATGCAAAATACTTTCTACTGTACAACGGATAGCTTCCAAACAACAGACAGTGATATCCCAGTCACCTTTCTCTCTCCATCTTACACATACTCCCAATTCAGTAAGATTTTGCACATTGTTCTTCTACTGCTGTCAACGATGTAGTCCAGTATACCATTCATAAAAAATATTTCTACTGTAGCTTGCACATTAATATCTTGCTAAAGGAGGGTGATGTAATTAAGGGATCTGTCTGTGATCAGTGAAAGTCAATGGGGAAAGAGACACAGGATTAAATCCTCAGCAAGACAGAGCCCTGCAGCTTGAAACAGAGAATGAGATGGAGTTTGCTTCTCCTGCTGTTTCCAGCCAAACGCTAGACTAGATGACAACTCAAGACTACTTCCTATCCTAGAGCTTCTCTAAGCTGGTTCCAGTTTTCTAGACTTTAGGCATCATTTTGGTTGAAGACGTTTTCTGGATCACAGGGTTGCCCCAGGAGGCTACATTTTGCCAGCCTCGCCCTTCTTGTGTTGGCACACATGGATGTGGAACACATCTGTGTGGCACATATGGAAAAGAAACCTCAAAGGTGATTTTTTTAACTTCCTAAGACTACCCTACACGGTGGAGCACCTAAAAACTACTGGGGTGGTGTTAGGGCAACTTTTCACCAAAAATATCCCCCTGTTACAGAACAGCTAAAAGCCTGCTCCAGCAGCTTAATTTATTTTTTTCTCATCCAATATAAAACTAATTTACCTGTGGAGATGAAAAAGAATCAATGGAACCTATACTTAAACATGTGATTATGTGCCATAGTGAATTAAAATTCTCTCCAGGCAAAGCACCATAAATTGTACTGAGAGTGCTGGCAAAGTAAGGGACTTTTCATAGGTAAGAACAGCAAAAATTTCAATGTGAATTAAAGATTTTACATGGAATGCTGATCTTACATTCATGCACATCACTTAGTAAGATGTATAGTGATTAATCAGTGAAATTTTCCTTCTCTCAGAATAACTTGCCTCTTGATAATTAACAATTCTAGCACGTTTCCAGAACTTGTGGGAGTCAAAGCAGCACCGCGATTTGTACCTGGTTACCAAAAGCATGGGAGGAGACCTTGTGAAATTAAAGACGCAAAAGGAAGTGTTAGGTAGCAGGGGCATTCACACAAAGACCCACAAACATATTAGCACATTCAGCTGAAAAACAGCAAACAGACCAATTTGCTCTACAAAACTGCCGTAAAAACACAATCTCAAAAACGGAAACATTTTTTTTCAAACATAAAAGCTGTATCAGCCAAGCACTGCTCTTCCCCCAGCAGGTGTCACTGCTGGAAACAGCAATAACAGTGGCTGAGTGATTCTGGGTTAGGAGGCACAACCTCAAAAACATAACCTACACAAACATCACTAAAAATATGAGAAAAACAGAGCATAGGAAGGGGGTGAAATGGTTTCCTTTTGTACCTTTCAACCCTGAGCGGATGATAATAGGAGACAAGTCATCATAATTGTTCATTAAACTGATGTCTCCTGACGTGAAGCTGACAGTAAGTAGCGGCTTGGTGTTCTGCACCGGGACTGGATATGCAGCTGGTCCATCTGCAAAAACAAGGCTCTGGGGTTAGGAAAAGGCAAACAACCACAAGTGATTACATCCAGGCTGAAATACCACCATCAGGAGTGGTTCCAAGCCTCAAACTCTACCTGCTTATTTCTGCAACATCTATGAGCAAAAATAAGGCAGGTTTGGCTAGTTTGTCTGCTTTTGTGAAACCGCAATATTTTTACTTTTTGAATTTTTACTGCAACATATCCAAAGTGATTGATAGATATACTATTATGTTATACAGTGGTGGTTTTAAATCCACCTCCATTGTCAACTCCCCAGAGTGTCCACAAATTGAAAACCATTGCTTTGGAAGGCTTCCTTGGGACTCAAGATGAATAACAGTGTAATAAACAATATAATCACATTAAAAGCTATTTGTTAGACACACTTTCTGTTTGGGCAAGTGCTGGGGACTCCTCCTGAAGTCACTTAGAGACATTATAAGAACTTCTAAGAGAACATACTGACCTTTCACAAATTACTGTTTTCTAAATGTTAAGAGCCAGGCAGCAGCATGAAAAGTTACCTGACATCCTGCATAACACGAACCAATGCACTCAAATGCAGAGATGAGCCCAAATGGAACACCTGGCTTTAAAAACCATTCCTGCAAAGTCTCTGTTCCTCTGAGCTTGTTTTTTTAGCTTTCACTGAAAATTCCCTTGTTCAAATACCTAATGACCAATATCACCACCTGTAGCATTCACTATTTAACTCTTTCTGTTTACAGCTTCTGACAGGAGATGCTGCTGGCCCCTGACAAAGTATCTCTCAAGGCCCAAACGGCACAGCCAGCTAAGAGTGGTACTGCTTCCTGAACTTGTAAATAAGCTGATCAGAATGGATTTTTGGAGAAAGATGTCTAGTAATTAACATCTCTGTGTGTATATAATTTGACAAGAAAAACCCATCAAACTTTCAGTCTTTCCTGTGCATCTGTGTGAGTCAAAGGGTTGTCACCTTTGAAAGGTTTATGCTGCATCTGCTCTAAAGAAAACACGTCATGTTTGGGTAATCACTAAAACAGGCTTGTACGCATGTAATGCGTCCACCCACCCCCTGATTGACTCAGAAAAAGCTAATGCGTTCCTATCATTTAAGTTCTTATCTGTGTACTCTGCAACTTTACCACTGTCCAACTGAAACCTCAGTATTTAAAAAAACAACAACAACAAAAATACCCCAACTTAATGTTGTTCTCTGTCTTGCTTCAGAAGTTCGCTAGGAAATTTGAAGTTTGTTCCTTTTCTTCTGTGCTAAGAAATCTCACCCAGTATCAGAAGTGAGGAATGAAAGCCAAAACAAAACTCAGTTTTAAAAGATGCTAACATTTTACCAGGTGATCACATTATCTTCTATCATTATTTGTTAAATACATATGCTTATTACATTGACATATATAGGTATAATTCTGGAAAAGATTGGTTTTTGGACTGAATTCAAATTAGAGTTAAAACTGCAAGAGTCCTCAATTCAGTGGTTCAGGTCCAACATGAAAATTCAGAATTATTTCCAGCTAATGTGCATTTAAATTTTTCATTGTACAATCACTGATATATTTAGTTCTTAATTTAGTTCAGACTTTATACACTGGAACACACGACCAGCTTACCTAGATCTTATAGGCTAATCAACAGCATTAACAAGAAGTATTAGCATTACTTGAATAAGAAGGATGGGGCTGACTGTGCATGGATACCTAGGCCTCCTGGGTCTTTGCTATTGATGATTTCCAAAACAATTCACTCAATGAGCTGGATTTATACTTAAGGGGAGAGAAGAATTTATTCCTGACCCTCAAACTGTCAATATCCTCTGAAGCATGGGAATTGGTAACTCCAGACAGCTCCAGTCACCCTTCTTCTGCCTTGTGTAACTGCAAGAAATATTTTCATTTCCAAATGTTTTACGGAATTTATTGAGCTCTTTATGTCAAGGCCAGGTTGGATGAGGCTTTGAGTAATCTGATCTAGTGGAAAGTATCCCTGTTCATGGCAGGGGGCTTGGAACTAGGTGATCTTTAAGATATCTTTTCACATGAATCTATACAATAATGCATTTACTTCAGTGACTGTACTCAGACTATCTCCATACCTCACATCTGCTTATCAGTGAAACATGATATGCCCCTAACTAGAGTTTTCCACTCACCCTCACTAAAAACTTCAAGCTTTGTGCCTCATTTGTGAAACAACAGGCAGAGAAGCACAGATGAGGTACGACCTCCAGCAAGCCACGGAGTGAGGCTGGTGGCAGAGCTGGGATGAACCCACTCTCCTGTACCAGCCCTCTGCTGCATCCCCCATGCTATCTCCACAGGAATGCACCATCTTTCAGCCTCTACCCGCTTGAAACTGTGTCCATCCTACTGTTTTAGGACAGCATGACAACTCCCTGGTGTTCAAGATGTCCTCATGAGTGAGCACGTGGAAAGCTGAAGCAGAAGGACGTGCACACAACACTACCTTGTGGTGGGGAATAGTCGTCAGAGTCCGTGTCACTCTCACTGCTGTCCTCCACCAGGAAGCTGGGGTAGTTCCAGGACATGCTCAGGATGCCATCTGACTCGTGAAGGAGTACATGAGCCAGCATTCGGCCATGGCAGTCCATGACGATAACCTGTCCATCAGCAGTGCCAAACAGTACCTGAAAATAACAGAACAGCCTTCAGGACCATCAACTGTCAGCCACTGGACCCTCCTTCAAAGGCACCTTGTAATTAACTAGCTACGCTGTAAATTAATTGAAAGTAAAGTGGTCAGGGATGCGAAATGGTGCCACAACAGAACACTGCTACCAAAGACATATATAAAGAATGAAGCCAAAGCAGCAGGGTCTAGAAGTAAGTTCCTAAAATCTGTGAGCACGTAATGCTTCATCGTGGGGTGCATTTTGTTCACTTTAATATGAGCCATTACACTTTATTTGAACTTGGCCATTACTACCACCAAAGAGAGCTGGCAGAAGGGCTACCACAGACTCAGCACCGTTCTTGTATTGTACAGAAACCTCTAAAATTGGTGGTAGAAACCACGGTATGCATCAGTCGTAACAACATCAAAAGGCACAGCTGACAAAAATGAGATTTTATCAGAGATTTCAAACAGCTTGTGAGAAACAGAAAGCTGAACAGAGGAGGACAGGTTATTCAGTTGATTAGCTGAGACAAGGTGGCAGAAGATCTTCCAAAAACAGAGGCAAAAAGCAATATGTTAGCTGAGACAAGGTGGCAGAAGATCTTCAAAAAACAGAGGCAAAAAGCGATATGATCAATCAACTGGAAGCAGATCATTATAGCCCAAGAAGAAGGCAATATGCTACACATTCAGGAAGGGATAAAGAAGCTTCTACCCACCATTTCAAATGCAAAACGGATAACACCTTGCCCCTAAACTACTCCATAGCCAATGTGTGTTGACTGAAGTCAGACTGACCGGAACATACAATTTCTCTTTGATAAGCATTTTCTGTCTTGAGGCTTTAAGCGAGTTAAGATCCTGCATAGTTTATGAATTTTAGAAAAACATCAGGAAACAAAGATTAATAAATCTACAAAACCATAAATGCATTAGCCAAAGCTGCTGCTCCTACCACATAATTCCATACGAGGCAAAAAAAATTTAAAGGAAGTTCAAAGGCACTCATCAACTAGAAAACTAGCCAGCATTAAAAATGAACCTAAAAGGAAGGGTAAATCTTATACTTGCCCTTCAGTCTACCACCTATTTCCAGTGCTTATAAATTAAAGATTCTAACAATTATATGCCCAGATCAAAAATTCATCTAGCCTTGTATCTTCTAACAGTGGCCAACTGTTTGGGGAAGAGTAACAGAACACAACGCACTGAGCAGGCACCTCCTCTGTACACATATGTACCTTCTGGCAAAAAAGTCTCCCTCTTCTTTGATAACTGATAATCTCACTTGGTAAGCCTTACCTCTTAACACTAAAAGAAATACAGAATAATTGTCCCCTACTTACATTCTCAACATTGGTCATGATTTTATAGACCTGTTATCTAATCCCTTAGTCACCTCTTTTCCAAGCTGAAGGATCACAGCCTACTCAGGATCTCCCTGCACACTTGTTGTTCAAAGCCTCCAGTCACCCTTGTTCACCTCTGCTGTCAGAGGTCTTCCTTTCTGTCTTCCTTCCGAGATGTCGTGCCAGACTTGCAGCATTCAAGCTGCGTATTATATCAGACTTACACAATAGTAGTCACCTAGGAAGCAATTGTCATGGTTGCACTTTTGAAAGTTTCAGAAAGGAAGTGTGGCTTCAAAGGTCTTGGTCAAAAATAAGAAGGACTAAAATTTTTCCTATGATCAAGGTGATGATCAGGAAACACAGAAGGTTGTAAAGTAGAAAGGCACTTTAACAGAGGAAACCCAGTGGAATAATTAAAATCTTAAGAAAATCAATGGAGTTGTTTCACTTTATCAGAAGCATAAACCCCGTTTTTAAAAAGGGAAATAAGGAAGACCCAGGAAACTACAGGCCGGTAAGTCTCACCTCTATGCCTGGCAAGATCATGGAGCAAATCCTTCTGGAATCTATGCTAAGGCACATGGAAAACAAGCAGGTGATTGATGACAACCAACACGGCTTTACCAAGGGAAAATCATGCCTGACAAATTTGGTGGCCTTCTACGACATGGCCACAGCACTGGTAGATAAAGGAAGGGCAACTGACATCATCTACCTGGACTTGTGCAAAGCCTTTGACACTGTCCCACATGACATCCTTGTCTCTAAGTTGCAGGGACACGGATCTGTCAGGAGGACCACTCGCTGGATAAGGAATT